AATATTTTCATTAGAACATACTGGATGCTAATTCTTCAGTAAATTCAGGTGATAAACTTACCACATTTTTAAACAGAAGTTCTCCTAGTCTACGGTATGGCTTTCATTTCCTTCATGAATACATCCAGGACATACTTACTCCAGGAAGAAACTGCTCCCAATTCTTCTAATATAGGTATGTAACACCATCTTGTTTTCCTTCCCCTGGGCTTGGAGCATTTACATATATTTCAACTTGACACTTAAAAATTCTGAATAAATCCTTAAATAATCCTTTCCATTCTTACTATTTTGGCAGATATTCTACCCAACAAAGGTATTTTTTATTCCTTTAATTCTTGAATTCTTGCCTTCTGAGTATAAGAATTTCAAATAACATCAGACACCTCCATTTGCTACTGCTTTTATCCCTTCGTTTCTATAAAAAGACCAGATAGGTCCTTGTGGTTTAATAAAAAATACATATTTGGGTTTTTAATTTTTTTAATTTTTAAGGTTTTTTTTTTTTTAAGATTTAATTTTAAGTAATCTCTACACCCATTGTGGAGCTTGAACTCACAACCCCCAGTTCAAGAGCTGTACGCTCCACGATCTGAGCTAGCCAGGCACCACCATACTTGGTTTTTTTGGTCCCTGGCTCCTAAAACCTTTGGTATTTCCTTAGGGATTCAAGAGTGTTGTTATTCATAGCAAGTCTCTTTCCCCTGTACCTGTGTTTATGGTAATGAAGTGATTCTTGATGTCCCTTAGTTTCAAGAGAGGGGCTGACTATGCTTAAGGAACTTTCAGTTCTCCCCCCACCCCCTATCTTTCACTCCTTAGGGGAGGGGGAGGCCCTGGTGATTGAGTTCAAGCACCAAGGGCAAATGATTTAATCAATCATGCCTAGCAATGACACTTTGATAAAAACTCCTGAATAACAAGGTTTGGGGGGAGCTTCCGAGTTGGTAACAAGATTGATTTGCCGGCTGGATGGTGTACCTGAAGAGAGTATGGAAGTTCTGCACCTAACCTTGTCTAACCTTGCCCTATGCATCTCTTCCATTTGCCTGTTCCTGAGTTGTAGCCTTCATAATAAAGCTGTAATTGTTAAGTATAGTATTTTCCCAAGTTTAATTAGTTTATCTAGCAAATTATTGAACCTGAGGGTAGGTCATGATAACACCCCAAATTGTAGTTGGCCAGGCAGAAGTGCACGTAGTCTGGACACCCCATTTGTGGCGGGTGTCGAAGTAGAGGCAATCTTGTAGGACTGAGCCCTTAACCTGTGGGGTCTGTACTAACTCCAGGTTGTCTGTGTTAGAACGGAATTGAACTGTAGAACACCCAGTTGATATGACAGCATTGGAAAATTGGTTGTTGTTTGCAAAAGCAAACGGTCCTTCTTAAGCCTTCTTGTGAAATCATAACATGTTGTAATTTTTGTACTTTTGTACTTGTAAAATGAGAAACTCTATAATGATAAAAGGCTTATAATAAATTGCAGTAATTATTTTTTAAAGATTTATTTATTTTAGAGGAGGGGAGGGTCAGACTCCCCACTGAGCGTGGAGCCCAACGCAGGGCTGGATACCACAACCCATGAGATCATGACCTGAACAGAAACCAAGAGTCAGATGCCCAACTGACTGAGCCACCCAGGTGCCCTACAGTAATGGTTTTAAACTAATGTGATTTTAATTATAGCTGAAGTATATCTGGGAAACAGACATAAAAGAGAGACATTGTTTAGTCTAAAAGAATGCATGGGCACACATAAATTTGTTTTTACCTTTTCAGATGGGACTATTTAACAGTGATGCCAAAGTAAAAATATGACACATTTTTATGAACCATGAATTTTATACCTTGTTCAAAAAATCGGATAAAAGATAAAAGTTTTATCTCTTATAAGCAGGGACCTTGTCTGTATCCTGTGACCAGTGACTGACATTGTAAAGGATGAATGAAGTAATACAGTAAAACAAAAACAGGAAATGAATATAACACAACATTCACAGAATTTTTAACATACCCAAGACTTTCATGAAACATCAGGCTTTCTCCAGGCTAAATACTGTCATTGTGATAGACTAAAAAAATGGTCCTTCCCCCAAAATATACAGGTCAAATCCCTGGAACTTGTGAATGTTACCTTATTTGGAAAACTGACTCTTTGCAGATACAATTTAGTGAAGGACCTTGAGATAAGAGCCTCCTGGATTATCCAGGTGTGGACTAAATCTCATCATCAGAGACAGAGGAGAAGGCAATGGGACGATGAGTGAAGTGGTGTGGCCACAAGTCAAAGAAGCCAAGGATCACCTGAAGCCACCAGAAGGCGGAAGAAGAAGAAAACGAGTTCTCCTTTATAGTAGCCTCTAGAAGGAACACGGCCCTGCCAGATTTTGGATTTCTAGTTTCCAGAACTGTGAGAAAATAAATTTCTGTTCTTTCAAATCTGTGGTAATTTGTTACAGCAGCCTTAGGATACAATAGCTAACCCTTGAGGGTTCAGAATCATGCTCTTTTTAGAAAAGTTTCTTTGAGGGAGAATTTATGAAGGTTCCCATGTGGCTAAGGTCCACAGGTTGGACCCAGTGTGGAGGACCTCCCATAAGGGCCATTTCAAGTAGAAGATTTCATAATTTACTGACCTTAGCAGTGTTAAAAAAAAACAAACAAAACACAACAGGTCCAAAATGAGTCACTTGTGCTAAGCCCCTGTCACCAAACTGAGACTTAATACCTAACCTAATTGCAGTTTCAGCCTTTCCCAGGAATATAATGTTAATAGGTTAGTTGGGAATTTCCTGGTGAGAAGTAGTGAGGTAATCTGCTTGATAGACCTCTTTCTTCCTGAAAGATAGGTGACATTGCCTGAAATAATCCTTTCATTTGTTTATGATGTCCTTGTCCCACCTCCTCTGCCTTTTAAAGCCTTCCATTTTGTACAGCATCGTAGAGCTCCTTGCTATTTGCTAGATGAGATGCTGCCCAATTTATGAATCATTGACTAAAGCCAGTTAGAGCTTCAAATTTACTCAGCTGGATTTTGTTTTTTAACAGTAGCTTTCAACACCAGGCAGGGGATAAACCTGTTTTGAGGTTAAAAAAAAAAAAAAAAAGTATGAGCTTTACTTGACAATTTAAGCAATAAAAAAACAAGTTGAAAGAATATCTAAAGATATGTCATTTTTTTTTAAAGGATGTTATGCTTTTATTTGACAGAGAGAGAGCACAAGCAGGGGGATCAGCAGGCAGAGGGAGAGGGCGAAGCAGTCTCCCCTCTGAGCAGAGAGTCTGATGCAGGGCTCAATCCCAGGACCCTGGGACCATGAACCAGCAGAGGGCAGACGCCCAACCGGCTGAGCCACCCAGGCGCCCCAAGATATGTCAATTCTTTTAATTGATATCATGTTCAATCATGAAAAAAAAAAGTATAGAACTCATAAGTCTGTATTTAATCATTTATTCTTGATGTACCTGTACTGGCCACCCCCCCATTATGTTCACACCATACACTTAAGTGAACATCCAGCAGGCATACTTGTTAATGTACTATTATAGACATCACAATCATGATCAAGAATCAGCACTTCTGTAGCTACCCAATGAAGCCCAAAGAAATTGAAGGTTATGACTATATTATGCTTAATTCAGACATAACACTTTTGTTTGAAGTACTTTCTTTGGGGATCCCTTTTAAAAAATCTGTCCAGTGAATTCTGTGCTTAACATAGGCCTGTACTATATGAAAATTAAATTGTGACATGATTGTTTCACTTCATAATGGCCTTTATTTTGTAAAACTTTACAACAGTAAGGTAAAATTTTATTTCAAAACAAAAATAACAGTAAATTTCCTAAATAGCTATCTTTGATTCAAAACAAAACAAAACCCCACAACACTACAGAAAACATCTCTTAAATTTTAAAGTTAATTTTGAATTTATGAAGAATGACTTCACACCTTTTAGGGTATTTGTTTTTGCAACTACCTTTCATCCTTTTATGAAGTAATGAAACAACTCACTTGAAAATAGGAAAAAAAACCCGTCAGAAACAGACGTTCTAATTTTGTAATTTGGTAACACGAATCTTAAACTTAGCTAGTTGAATATGAAGGATCAAAAAAGGTCTGGATTGGCAGAGGTTTCTGGGAGCATAAAAGATGACAACAGCAGCTAGGCCAACTTTTGAACCTGCGAGAGGTGGGAGAGGAAAAGGAGAAGGTGATTTGAGCCAACTCTCAAAGCAGTATTCAAGTAGAGACCTACCTTCTCATACAAAGATAAAATATAGACAAACTACTCAGGATGCCCCCGAAGAGGTTCGCAACCTCAGGAGAGAGCTGGAAGAGAGAGAGCGAGCTGCTGCAAGAGAAAAAAATAGAGACCGTCCAACACGAGAACATACAACCTCCTCGTCAGTGTCAAAGAAGCCTCAGTTAGACCAGATTCCTGCTGCCAACCTTGATGCAGATGATCCTCTAACAGATGAAGATGAAGATGAAGATTTTGAAGAGGAGAGTGACGATGATACTGCAGCTCTTCTTGTAGAACTAGAAAAAAATTAAAAAAGAAAGAGCTGAAGAGCAGGCCAGGAAGGAACAAGAACAGAAAGCTGAAGAAGAAAGAATACGTATGGAAAACATTTTGAGTGGAAACTCTCTCCTTAATCTCACTGGCCCATCCCAGCCTCAGGCCAACTTCAAAGTTAAAAGAAGGTGGGATGATGATGTTGTTTTCAAGAACTGTGCAAAAGGTGTGGATGATCAGAAGAAAGACAAAAGATTTGTAAATGATATGCTGCGATCTGAATTTCACAAAAAGTTCATGGATAAATACATTAAATAGTACAGTTTTATGTGCTTAATTAAAGACAGTAAAATGTAAAAAAAAAAGGTCTGGATTGTTCTAATAATTGTTTAGAATTTTAAAAATACTATAATTGCCCTTTGCCCTTAATAGATTTCAATGTCCTCACTAAATAAAGATCTACCCCCCTCAAATAGTGACGCACAAAGGGCTAGCATTACCACGAGTGGCACAATGTTGTCCTTAGCACTCAGCTATTTCCACAGCCATGGCAAAAACCCTTTGGGCTAGTTCAAGTTTTGTTTTCTAATTTCATTTTTATTTATAAACACAAATTTTGTTTTCCTTGGAATGAATGTTTTACGTTGGATTACTTTTTTCTTTTAATTCTGGATGTAAAATCTAATAGTCCCACGATTTATATGGGTTCTGGATCAGCAGCCTAATTTTAAGATGACATAGTTAGGCTCTTACTTCACCGACAGAAACACCTGTCTGACCGGAAGTTGTGATGACGCTACCATCTTCATGTAAACATCCCAAGCATTTCGAGTCTTTCTTTCGGACATTTTTTCTTCTCCGTTTCGCCAGAATGTCGGCCACAGTCCCCACGCGCTGTTTCCGCGGGCCTGTGGGCCTTTATGAGCGTCCCTAATCCCTAAAGAAACAGGTGCAGGGCTGGGTCGAGCCCTCGAAGCCAGCAGGTGAGGCGTCGGCTTCGGCCTGGACCGCAGCTTAACCACACGCGTGCCGCACTCCCCCCGACTCCGCCCTGGGACCGCCGGGCGCCCGGCTGGGAGGACTCAGGCGGCCGCGCCGAGGAGACCGGCGGCGCTCGGGCAGCCCGGCGGGGCGGGGAGAGGCGGGCCGGGTCGGCCAGGGGCCGGGCGTGCGGAGGCCCGGCCAGCCGGCGGAGGCGGGCTCTCTCGGGCCGCGGTTGCCGCCCTCTCCGCTCGCCGCCACCCCGGCGCTCCGATCATGTCCTTGGCGTCGCGCGGCGCTGCTGGGGACAAGGCTGGTTCGGAGCGGGAGCAGTCCGGCGGGCCGGCTCGGCGGGGCAGCAGGAGCTGCGGCCTCTGGGTACGGGGTGCGGCGGGCAGGACACGGGGGGTGGGGGTTGGTGTGGCGCGGAGCCTCGCAGGGGTCTGGATGGAGCGGTGGGCGCGGGCGCTTCTTTCCCCGGCGCCGGGTGGGCCCTCGGAGGGCGGCGGGAGCTCACGAAGGGTGGGGGCGGGTGAATGATGCCTTAAGCGGTCGTGCCTTCTTACGGATCCTGTGATTCTTACGTCGAAAATACGCGAGTCGTGGTATTGGGGGGTTTGGACCCTTCCCCCCCCCCGCCCCACCTAATAAATTGGGATTTCAGATAAACAGCGATTAATTTTCAGTCTTAGTGTATCTCAGATATTGCACGGATTATACTTAGACTAAACAGTTACTCCCTTTTTATGTGAAGTTCTAATGTAATCGAGCGTTCTGCATTTTTATTTTCTAAACCTGGCAACCCTACCGCAGGAAGTGAAGGGGTTGCTTCCTACTAAATGGCCCAGTCTTTGAGGATGGGGACTGTGACTTACCCTGGTAGATGTCACCTCTGGCTAGACCGAGGATTGCTTTCCCTGTGCTTCCCCGCTTCCAGTACCAGGCCTGCGGTGGAGGACCCACTGCCTGGGCTGATGCTGTGCCGCCCTCGGGCCCGAGCCTGTGCTCCATGGTGGTTCTCTGCCAGTTCGAATGTCTGTGCCTGCCACTGTGCATCCATCCCTCTGTCTGGGAGTCTCTTCCTTCCTACGTGGTTTGGTAACTCTGATCAGTACTGCCAGACTGTAGGAACTGCTAATTATCTTTCTATTCTAATCTGGTGACCCACTCAGGAAGGTGCTGACCACGTGGTGTTACCTGTTTGACTGACAGGTCCTTGAGCCCCTGACGTGTTTTTCCAATGATGTGTATCCCTGGGGCATTGAGCATTTCGCCTACTTAGTATATAGGAGGCGCTCCATAAATCTGGCATGGCTAATGGGTACATCAGTGTTGAAGTGAAACGTTTCTCGTGCGCTTCTCTGTTGATGTCTCTTTCCTTACTAGGTAATAACTTTTGCCAAGCTCAACCAGAATTGAAGGAGAAAGGTGCTTTCCAGAAACTTTTTCTTTTATTTGGGAGGGTAGGGGGTGATATTTCAGATGCACCTCCTACCTCCTCTCACTGCCCAAGATAACTTGGAGATGAAGGTTCTACTGGAACTCCTGCTTCAATAGTAAATATTGTGGTAGATGGTTTGGGGATGACAGTTAGATGTTGGACCAGAGATGAAAAGGACTTGTTTTCTTAGTTGATAAACCAGATAGGCTGCTGATTTATCACACCAAAAAAAGTTTTTGGGTCCAGGCCATGCCGATTAACATTTTGTTTGTTTGTTTATGCTCCAGGAACTCAGCCTGCTTTTTTCTTAACGCAGCTTCTGCCCTCCACCTAAGTTGGTTGCAGTCTCCCTAGCATGCTACTCCTAACGCCTTCCTAAGTACACAGGCCCTTTTTGTTTTAAAGATTTCCTTACCGACTATTGGGAAGTAAGGAATAATAGATTGTAAACACTGGGGAGTTCTAATGTTATAATGTTCCCTTGGAGTAGTTCCTGCCTCTAACTCTAATTACTGAAGGTGATGTTTGTTACAGCATCCTTATTCTAAGTGTGTGGGCATGGCTGTGTAGATCAGCCACTCATCATCCAAGGATAAAATGTAAAAAATCCTTTTAATTTTTTTCTTTTAAGTAAGTTCTACACCCAATGTGGGGCTCAAATTCATAGCCCCGAGATCAAGAGTCACATGCTCTACCAACTATGGCCAGCTAGGTGCCCCCAACATTTAAATTTTAAATGCACTCAAAATGAATGAATGAAGTATTTGCAAGGAAAAGGTTTTCTATCAAAACTTGAATTTGGAACATAATCATAAGGAGACTATTTTTGGAAATATTTGAAACTTCAATTCTTTATCTTATTCTCTTAATCTTTAGATATTCAAGAAATTCTCTTTTGAAGCCCATATTATTCTGATTCTTTTCTAAGATTTGTAATTTTGCTCTAACTAGTTTGCATCAGGATGCTGTATATGGTTTGAACAATGCAATAGGGCCTGGCTGATCAAGAAAGATAAAGTGGATGGGGAAAAGCTCTAGGGGTAGGCAGAGAGATTCGATGATATAAAACTGGTCAATATTTTAGTGAATATATTCCTGTTACAATGAATGCCTCCTTTTACAAGCTCCCAACAGCTGGGTTTTAGATAATACATACCTACAGGGTCCCTGTAATCAGGAAATTATACTAATAGTGTTATTGAACATTTACTGTGATCAAGGCACTGTTTTGCTTTCTATCAATTCATTTAATCTTCATAAAACCCTTTGAGGTGGGTGTGACTATTATTCCTACTTTACAGATTGGGAAACTTAGAGCTATGAATGTTGTGGTTGACATACCTTAGTTTCCTTAAAATCTTTGAATTTTTGTAGGTTCTCTGTGTCACAGCGTGTTCATGGAGATTTGGCATATTTTAATACGAAAATGGAAACTTTTTTAAAACTAATGGTCAGGTTAAGGTCAGTCATTAGGACAGTCTATTCAAAATTTGGTGTTCGGAAATAAGAGTGTGCCAGGCTTTAAACACAGTAAATGTGGTTTTACCAAATAATTAAGGACATTGGGAGGCTAGAGAAGCATACAGTCCCTTTTGGTTATTTTTGTACTAATAAGTAAAACTTTTTTCTGTTTCATAGGTTTGGATATATATTTGCATATCAGGTTTTCTTCAAATGGATCTCATTTGCTATATTATCATTAATGATTATTTTTAATATTTAAAGCTGCACTGCCTTTTAAAATCTTTTTAGGATGGGGAACAGCACATCATCATCTTTGGGGAAGTCAGCAACTGTTCCTGTGAATCAGATTCAAGTGAGTGATGTGGGAGACGTAGGAGAAACCTTTCCTCTGTAGAAAAAGAATTGTGTTTTACACATTTAATATGCTTATTCATTATCCAGCCTGACATAGTTCAGCAAATGAATTACTAAATGTATACTTTAAAATCTGCTATCAAAATAATCCATGTGACAGAAAAGTTCTAGATCATATTGGCAGTCAAAGTTTATGAGATTTATTATTAATGGAGTCTTTACTCCCTCTAAGTTGGGTCTGTGAGGTTAGCTCTTCCTTTCCCTCAGACCTACCTCAGGTCTCCTGTTGATACCAGTCAAGCTGCTCTTAGCCAGGGATGCTGTTTGATGTTGGCCTGGGAAGCTGCTTAACAGCTTTCTCCCCTAACACAGAACTTAGTATGCTGTAGTTACTCTATAAATGATCCTCTCAGGATCAAAAATAGGTCAAAAATAGACCAACTTGCAGACCATGCGCTGCTGGGTACTGTTTTCCTCTCTTTCACTGCAAAACCCAGTTCATTCTGCCTCAGAAAAACTCTCGTATGTTTTTCTTCCCTTGCAGTCTACAAGACATACTCATGTTTTCCTTTCTCTGTTCTTCATCACCAACCACCACCACATGTATAACATTTCTGCCTTTAATTTATTTGGCTAAGAAAGTATTCACTCACAGCTGATGAAAGTAACAGCAATGCTAAAAACCTGTTGTGAGGGAATTCCTTTTTAAAACAAGAATACAAAATGATGAAAATTTAGCAAGGTTGAGCTCGAGAGAAGGTGAGAAGGATTGTTCGAGATACTCTGGCACTGTCATCTTGAGTTTCAGCTCACTTTGGAATCTCTTCATCAGTGTTTTTACTGCATATCAGCACCCGGGATGCTCAGCTCTCTCTACACGATGGTCTCAGTGTGCCTATAACCTGAGAGGTGGCATGGTGGAGGAAAGAGTGCTGGCTTTGGTGTTGGGACAGGTTGCGTTAAATCCTAGTGTTGTGAACTTGTCAGCCTCAATTTTCTCATCTATAAAGTGGATTCATTCATACATCTCTGGTATGGCTGGCTTTCTCCGAGACAGACTTCTATACTGAACATTATGAGTAATTAGAAGAGAAAGCATAAAAATAGACCAACTTGCAGAGAGCTAGACTGTGCCTTAAAACCCTTCTGACACCCAAGGATGGATGTAACTTTAGAATTACTTTGCCTGGGTACTCTACTTTCTGATTTTTGGCTTTCATCTTGAAGGTGTTGCTTATGACCCACATAAGAACAACTTAAGACAGATGCTTGGGTGCTACTTATCTATTCAGAATCTCTTGAAGGACCTGGACATTCATATACTCAGAAACAAAAAAGAAAACAAATTTTACAAGCAATGCAGATGCATAGCAAAATCATAGTCTTTGTGATAAAGGCCTGGAGAGTAGTTTCCAAACCGGGTTGATAATAGAATCATCTGGGAAGTTAAAAAAAAAAAAAAAAGTTTCTGACTTCTGCCTGAAACCACCCCCCCTTTTTTTTTAAGATTTTATTTGTTTGAGACACAGAGATACAGAGAGAGAAGGAACACAAGCAGGGGGAGTGGGAGAAGCAGGCTTCCTGCTGATCAGGGAGCCCGCCGTAGGGCTTGATCCCAGGACCCTGGGATCATGACCTGAGCCGAAGGCAGACACTTAACTATCTGAGCCACCCAGGCGCCCTGCCTGAAATCCTTTGAATCAGCATTTCTGGTAGTAGCTTTTCCAGGAACAACAATATAAGAATGCCTTAGCAATACTGTAATGACAATGACAGTTTTTTTTAACTATAAAGATATATAGGAAGGAGTGGAAGTTGAGGGGGTAAGCTGTTGTCTATACCTGGATCAGTGACAGCCTTACATGTTAAACAGAAATCATATATCAGTCCTCACCATTAAAAGTTAAGGAAGGTAAGGAGTTAACTCCTAAACACCTACTGAGTATTTAAGAGGCAATATAACAGAGTTTAAGTGCCTGGACTGTAGAGTCAGACTTGCCTGGGCTCAGATCTCAGCTTTCCAGTTCTTATTAGTACTATGAGTAAGTCACTTATTTTCTTCTGTGTCTCACTTCCCCATTTGTAGAGTAGAGATAATAATAAGACCTATCTCAGGATTACAGTGAGGTTTACATGAGCTAGTAAAGGTCAGATGTGAAGAATTGTGTCTGGCACACAGAGATGTTTGCTGTATATGAATTGACTGTGATTATTGTTATCACTTCATGCCAACTTTGCATCTGTTCTATCCTTTTTTCCTAAAAACATCCCTTTTAAATGAATAATAATATTCTTAATCTGCAAATGAGAAAATAGCTGATGGAGACTTAGTTTGAACACTGAATCATGAGACTTCAGAATCCATCCTGTTTCCACTATAATAATGATTTCTTTCCAGAAGGTAATGTCTAGAATTAAAGAAAAAATTTTGTTTGTTTGTTTGACTTCAGGAAACAATTTCTGATAATTGTGTGGTGATTTTCTCAAAAACATCTTGTTCTTACTGTACAATGGCAAAAAAACTTTTCCATGACATGAATGTTAAGTATAAAGTGGTGGAATTGGACATGCTTGAATATGGAAGTCAATTTCAAGATGCTCTCTACAAAATGACTGGTGAAAAAACTGTAAGTGTATCCTCTATGGTGCTTTTCCTCCAAATAGGTGGTACCTGGGTCACGTAGAGCCTAGACGCTTACATAAAGGGAGCCAGGCATTCTCTCTGTCTCATCCTCTGAGAATCTTTTTTGGATAAAGAAATGGCAGATCTGGGAACAAAATTCAGAGACTGGGAAACAGCAGAATTCATTCATTTTATTTTTATTCTTGCCATGTGTGTGTGCGTGCGTGTATGTGTGTGTGTTTTGACTAGGAGAGTGGGGTGATGGTGTTGTCATGGGTGTTTGTGAATCTTTAAGATCCTCCTGTAGCTCTTCTCAAGATGAAATCCTTCCTCCCTTTACTTCAACAGTACAGACCATGGGTCAGTCTTCAGTTACTGTGCTAATAGGAGTGCTTTAGTTCTTCATGTTTTTAGATTCCTGAAATTTGTCCAACCATATGCATTTTTTCAGTGAAATGCATTATTGGGAAAATATATAATGTTGCCATTTTCCTTCTTGTTTTAATGTGCATGGAAGATGTTTATAAACAATAATTACAGACTGTGTTATTTTACCTTTTATATGCCATAGCAATTAGAAGGAAAGGCTTGAGTGTCAGATTGCCCTGGATTTAAATCCTACCCCTGTCATTTGCTGTCATTGTGATTTTGGACAAGTTCCTGTGCCTCATTTCCCTCCAAAATAAGGCTAAAATTAGTACCTACCTCAAGAGTTGTAAAGATTTAAGTACTTTGTGAAAGAGCTTAGTCTGGTGCCTGGCCCATAAAAGTACCCAGAGTATGAGCATCTATTACTATTATGTGAAAGGTCTTAATACTTCCGACAATAGAGTGACAGCTAATCTTTTGTTTATCCAACAGGTACCAAGAATATTTATCAATGGAACTTTTATTGGAGGTGCAACTGACACTCATAGGCTTCACAAAGAAGGGAAATTGCTTCCACTAGTTCATCAGTGTTATTTAAAAAAAAAGTAAGAGAAAAGAATTTTAGTTATGTAGGTGCTTATAACCTTGCTGGTAAAATGTCAGTGATTGAAAGTGATAATGCCTTTTAAATGTTTGAGGATGTTTTAAATATGTAAATTATCTTGCTGAAAAAGTTGTAAAACTAATAATAAATTGCTGTGGAAATCTCTTCTTCCTACTTGCCAATTCTTGACCAAAGGAGATGATATTTAAAACTACAGGAGTGAAATTGTATCAAAAGATAAGCAAAGAATGTTTTATTAATAATTCATATATGAATTTCACAACCATGAGCTAGAAGGTAAGCATTTGGGATTATTTATTCTGTGTAATATTCAGAAGGAGCTGACTCCTTACCATATTTTATGGCTTTTAGTGGTGAGGACTGATTTGTGATTTCTCTTTAAAATGGAAGGTTCTTCCAGATGTAGTTGTCAACTCAGTAGGGATATCCTTGTACTGTATTGTGACAAATCTTCACACTTTGTACTTCTAGAGTGAGAGAAGTATATTAAATTTGTAGGATGGAATGAAATTTATTTCAGAGGAACCAAATCACTCCTTTAATGTCTTAGTAGTTCCAGAGAATGGAACTGTACGTAAGGGGCAGAAATTAAAAGGAGGAAGATTTCAGCATTGTATGAAGATGAACTTTTGAAATAGTTCAGAAATGTACTTGAATTTTATTGTGAGGTGGAAAGTTCTGCTTTCCAAAATGTGTCAAAAGGCTGTTGGAAACATTCCATAAGAGATCCAAGTATTGGGTGGGAGGTTAGACTGTCCTTAAAGTAATTTCTGATGTAGATATTCTTCAATTCTGTGACTGATTCAAACTGATCTTATTTCAGATAAACTTAGCAAGCAAGATTTATTCTATAGGAAGTCTTATTTTAGAATAGTTAAAAATAGGGGCGCCTGGGTGTCTCAGTTGGTTAAGCGTCTGCCTTCGGCTCGGGTCATGACCCCGGGTCCTGGGACTGAGTCCTGCATTGGGCTCCCTGCTCAGTGGTGGGCCTGCTTCTCCCTCTTCCTCTGCCGCTCCCCCTGCTTGTGCTTTCTCACTCTCTGTCAGATAAATAAATAAAATCTTAAAAAAATAGAATAATTAAAAATATTTTGGATACTTGATTAATCACATCCCTATTTCAAACTTGTTATCAACAAGAATTTTTTAAGTGCACTTTCTAGGAAGCATTTTCCTAGCTGATCCCACAGAGTCACTAGGGCAGATTGCCAGATGCTAGGAAGAGAAAACTTCCTCAAAGGTGGAAGGACAATGCATTTTAAGTGAAGTGCTTCTGCTTTCTGGTCAAGATGGACCAAGGAATCGGGGACAGTTCTGCAGGAGACAGCTGGTGGCTTTTTTGGCCATATGCCATCAGTGATGCTTCATACATGGATTTATTAAACTGCCATTAGGAGACCTTGATAAAGCAAGAATTTGAATTATTTCATTCTCATGTGGTAAATTAGAACACTGGAATGGAACAGAATGGCATGTCCTTTAGTCCTTTATCTTGCATTGTGCCAATGAGAAATTTTAGATGCTTGCTATGTTCTCTTCCATCTGGATGTTCCTCCTATGTCCTTTTATAATAAACTTGTAATGTAATAAGTAAAATGTTTCTCTGAGATTGTGAGCCATTCTAGCAAATCAGTCATTGCAGGGTCCTTGGAACCCTTAATCTATAGCTGGTCAGTCAGTAACAGGTGACAACCTGGATTTCAGATTGGTGCCTGAAGCAGTGTTTGAGGGGCAGTCTTGTAGGACTGACCAGCTGCCCTGACATGCCCATCCCAGATAACCAATACTTACTTACTTTTAACTGAAAGGAGCTAGTTACAAAGCCTAGGGTTAAGGGGGGGGGGATTTGAATAGGGACTAAACAAACCACCAAATCCTCAGTGAAAGAAAATCATCCCTAGTACTTAAACAGTGATTAATACATATTAGATCAAGACAGAAAAGTGTTCAAAACACAGATCACACACTTAACTACCTACCCGTAGGTAGGTGAATCTCTTGGAACGATAAATTCCTTTTTATAAAATACGGATACCATCTTCCTTAGTGTTTATTTTGGGAAATGGAAATAATGTAAATCACACCGCATGGTCCTTAGCATGGACAGTAGACTTCAGTATGTAATGGCTGTTATAATCACAATGGCTCAGAAGTATGTATGGTTTTCTTGTGGACCCATCAGGATTTTCCAGCATCCTAGTTAAGATTTTAGAGGGGTAGATTTCCATTACTTCTCTATTCCCATGTCTTAGCTTGGGCTCTTAGAGCAAATTACCATAGACTGGATGGTTTAGACAAGAAGTATCTATTTCTCAAATTTCTGGAGGCTGGGAAGGCCAAGATCAGGGTGCCCACTAATTTGGTTTTTGGTGTGAACCCGCTTCCTGGTTTGCAGATGGCCATCTTCTGTGTCTCCACGTGGCAGCAGAGAGAAAGCAAGCCCTGTTGTCTCTTCTTACAAAGGCACTAAACCATCATGGGGGCTCCACCCTCACAACCTAATTACCTTCCTAATGGCCCCATCATCAAATACCATCACACTAGAAATCAGGGTTTAACATACAAACTTTGGGGAGACAATTTACTCCGTAACACTGTATTTTACAGCTTGATAAAAGTATAATACAGATCTAAGGCAAAACTAGGTGTAAGTTGTCTCAGCAGCTGTTTTTCTAGAACCAAAGGCTAGAAAGAAGAGAATGGTGATGTTTAAGAAAAGGTAATATTACCTTTTTTTTCAGTCTATTTAATTTTTAATGTTGAGATTTGGAAGATAAACTGTTTATTGTAGCCTACTAATATTAAAAAATGGATCGTTTCTCATTTAACCACTAATCATTTTATCCTTGAATTGACAAAATATCTAATAGGGAAGCTAAAAAGCTGTTGAGAAGAAAATTGGTCTTTTGTCTAAATGGATCTGGATTTACTAATATTAAAAATACTATTTGAACAATAGTTTTAAAGTCAATATTAAATAGGTTTAATATTGTTAAATGTTTTTTTAAACTTTTTTTTAAAGATTTTATTTATTTATTTGAGAGAGAGAGAATGAGAGAGAGCACGAGAGGGAGTAGGGTCAGAGGGAGAAGCAGACTCCCTGCTGAGCAGGGAGCCCGAGTGGGACTCGATCCCAGGACTCCAGGATCATGACCTGAGCCGAAGGCAGTTACTTAACCAACTGAGCCACCCAGGCGCCATTTTTTTAAACTTTTTTTAAAAAAAAATTGAGAGTAAGCGGGGGGGGGGAGGGGGGGCAGGAGATAGAATCCTGAAGCAGACTCCCTATTGAGCAGGGAGCCCAGCGTGGGGCTCGATCCGAGGACCCTGAGATCATGACCTGAGCCGAAATCAAGAGTGGGCTGCTTAACCAACTGAGCCACCCGGGCACCCCCTACTGTTAAACATTTTTTAAGTCTAGTTTTCTTCATCCATGAAGAATGCATAATTTGTGATCTTACTTTCTCCATACAACTGCTGTCATCTTTAAATAGAGAACTATAAAATCAACCAAATGTTCAAAGTTTTGGTAGGTATATTCTGATGTAACTTGCTTTTACTCTTTTGTATAACCTATATGCTCAGATCTTAGAGGTTTTCGTAAGTTTTATGGGAGTTCAGAGAGAAAAGAGGAATGTCTGCATTAGCACTAAAACTTTGTTTACATAATTGATTTTTGGTGTTAACATCACTTCCCAAAGGTAACTTTTGAGTAATTTCTTCACAAAAGAATCCTGTTATAAAACTCTTTAAGAATGTGCATTTTGGTTAAATCCAGAAATCCACTGGGAGAGATTCAACCACATGTATTCTTAAAGATTTTATTTATTTATTTGACAGAGAAAGACACAGCAAGAGAGAGAACACAAGCAGGGGGAATGGGAGAGGGAGAAGCAGGCTTCCCGCAGAGCAGGGGGCCCGATGTGAGGCTCGATCCCAGGACCCTGGGACCACGACCTGAGGCAAAGGCAGAGGCTTAACGACTGAACCACCCAGGCGCCACACACGTATTTTAAACATATATAACTAAACTAGAAGGCATTATAAGGCTAATGTTAATTATCAAACTAATTTTGGGCGCCTGGGTGGCTCAGTCGTTAAGCATCTGCCTTCAGCTCAGGTCATGATCCCAGGGTCCTGGGATCGAGTCCCACATCGGGCTCCCCACTCAGCAGGAGGCCTGCTTCTCCCCCTTCCACTCCCCCTGCTTGTGTTCCCTCTCTCGCTGTGTCTCTGTCCAATAAATAGAGTCTTTAAAAAAAAATTATCAAACTAGTTTCATCTTATTGAAATATTAGATTACTAAGAGCCTCAGATTCTATAAGGCATATTATAACCTTAAAATTCTTATTTCTTTAAAGAAACGAAGACCATTATTTGATGTGCATAGAGTTTATTTGGTGTATCTATCAATTTCTACAATACAATTGATCAGAAGCAGTTCCCATAATGTGCATCTGCACCCCATGTCTACAGTGATGTATTCAGTATGGTATTTTGCAAGGCTAGAAAAGGAGAGAAAGTCAAGATTTCACAGTATCGGTGAAAACTTTTATCATGAAATAAATTTAATTCATTAGTATTTCATCCATTTTCTACCAGAAAACATCAAAATTACATTGTTAAGTATATTACAGTGAAAACATGGAAGACTCAACAAAGCATCAGTAAATTTATCAACAGACCTAAGAACCCCCCCTTTTGCAGGGTCCCTTCCTTTTAAATGAAACTTGTATAAATAAAACTTTGTATTCTTAAGCACCAGCTTGACAATTTAAAGTTTTCTTTCAGTTTTATAAAATATTCCTGCTTTGAAAGGCAACGTGAATGTAAAAATGTGAATGTAATTAAATGACGGGCCTGGTTTTTATTGCAACAATCACAATGTTTTACAACTATATTCACTTCATTGAATGAATTTGCTTATAGATTTGAAACAAAGTATTTGCCTTTTGTCTTGAAAAAGTCCCTCAAAAAAGTAATCATTTTTGAAACTGTACAACTGTGTTTTTCATTCATAGTGTTTAAATATGCAGCTTGGTCCTTGGAGATTATGTTATACAAAGTCCAGCTTCTTGGATAACTTGTTATACCAAACAAAAAAACCTTAAACTACCACAAAATATTACTGATGTTAACAGTCTTGTATGTAGAATGTATCAGTGTACCCAGATTATCCTGTAAATGGGTGCTTAAACTACTAATGTACTATCAGGTTTTAAAACTTAACAGTTAAATTTCCATTATGTAAAAATGAAAGCTCTAAAAGACCCTTTGAGCTCTGTACTTCAGAAACACTAGCACTATTAAGGCATTACTTAATGAACAGACGCTGTCGAAAGCAACTAGTATGCCTGGTGGAGAGTTAGTCATATTGTAAGGCAGTCAGAAGATTCATTTTTTTCACTTTAAGGCTCTTGCATACTTATATTTTATTCTATGCAGGCATTATTCTGTGTAATTTAAATATTCAGCAAGTGGTCAATTATGGAAATCAAAGCCTTTATATAAAACAAATGGACAGTTTTTTAGAACTAGATTATAACACCTCTCCCCTAACCAACTTTTTTAAAAAGATGATTTCATGTGTCTCATCCCTTTAGAGAACTTCTTATCAGAAGCTGACATAAAGGAAGAAAATATAACTCAAATGCATTGCAGAAATGTTGTCTACTCACACCAAACCACATTATCTATAGTCCATATTTAAAATAATAGTACAACAAAAACATTTGATTACTATTCATTAGCTGTATAATATTTTAAACTTAATTTGGCTGTATATGAATTCTAGAGTTTACACTGCAAATAAAGCCCAGTAAGTATTTAAACGAAAGTTTCAATATTCTATCGATTATATGTGGTAATGATATATAAAACAGCAAGGCTTTACCTCATTTACTACCCTCAACAATCCAAGTGTTCATTAAGTGAAACCAGCAAAAATGTAGCTAACTTACTGTTTCTTTTGTTCAGTTTTCTGATAACTTCTAAAAGTACAGAAATCCAAATATATTTTAAAATTCAGTATGACTTATGTTCATAAAATTAATATGACACATGGTGGTGCTAAATTAAAAAAAAGCAAAGGGAAAAATCTCTTTAGGCTCAGAAACAGCTTTTGTATATTTTCATTGTATTTATAAAATTCATAATCATTGAAAATAATCACCTTAATTTCAGTAATAAGAATTTTGCAATGCAACTCCTCTAGTTTATGTCTCTACCAATTTCTAATATAGAACTTGATACTTTCATGGTTTAGGAAAATGTGTTATTTATTATAATTTTATTCAAACAGTATGCTTAACTACATGAAAAAATATTGCCATAGAATTTTAAAATTAACTTTGTAATTTTTTAAAAGCAAATAACTTACCAATTAAAAAAATGTTAAATGTGAATACAAGTTATTTACAAGATCCTGTACACCACAAACGATGTATATATAAGCTCAGTGAAGTACTTAGTAGATGAAAGATTTGAAAGTCATTTTTATATGGAAATATGAGCATGATGCTCATGATGCTATTTTCTGAGTATTCAGTTAATTATTTTTCTAAGAGTGCTTTTTCTAAGAGCAAAGTAGATCTAGAATTGCAAACAAAGGCTAAATAATCTTACTTAAAGGCCACAAAATTTTTGCAACCATCTAACGTAAAAAGTATACAATGTAATTTGATTTGGGGAGAAAATATATTAATCCAATTATTGTTCCAAGAGACCTGCCCATTATTAGTTTGAAAAAATATGATCTTAAATCTGTATGGAACAAATGGAAATCTGCGAAGAAATTCATCCCAACCCTAAATATGGGTGATTTTCCTGTCATTCATTTTATTATTGAGGTAAGAGCAGGACTAGAAACAGAAGACAAAAATGTCAGAATAAAGTAATTTTAAGAAAAAGGAAAAAAAAACAAGGTATAATCTTCGAACAAATAAGATTAGGAAGCGGATAATAGGGAAATGCTAAATAAAATCTGTACAGTAAATATAACTGAATTCATACCTTTTTTTCTAATTCTTCCTTGTGCATGTTTATATTGAGGCTATAGAGCATTTCTCTAGAGGGGATATTGCCTTAACAGATCACCCCAAACCTGTGGCATATAAGACTAGAATTTTTCATTTTTGATAATTTACTCTAAGGGCACAATTTTTCAAGAAAGTTTTATTTGTGGGTATGTAATCTTTCGGTTAAATTAGGCTAAGTGCAATAAGTGATCACAATGATTTCCTTTCACTTATTGTTTAGATGTGCTTTTAAAATGTTTTTCACTTAATTGTCAGATCCTCCAATTTATTCAGGAATTTTGCTTTAAATTTCCAAAACTTTATATTATTTTTGCAAAATCTCTGAAAATGAGGGGTAAATCCTGATAAAATGTTATACTATCATTTGTAGATTTATCTGTTATTTTAAAAGGTTAATCAAATGCTTATTAATAGTGTTTCTTCATTTAGAGTATAAGTTTTTCTAGGTCTATCCAAGTGGATCTTAAGACTTGGAATATGTGACTTTCTCTTGATCAGACAGTAGTGACTTCTTAGTCAGTAATACTCACCTTCACTGTGAACATGTATCTTCCACATTTTCCCACTCAGAACAGGAATGTTTTAATGAATTACTGAGCCTACTGAACGGTTTTTTGAAAACATTTTATCATTTGAAACATGTATCTCCTATTAAGAATGTTTTTAATTAAAAAAAGTTCTAATTTGTATTGCAAGCCCTCCTCCTAATTTAAACTTTTATACAGATATTAAATCATTGATTCTTCTAAGATCTCAGCATCAAGATAGGTCACATTTCAAAAGATAACAAAAACTGAAGGTTATACTGGTTGTCTACAGTCACAGTAAGATAAAGGAAGAGGTTCCAGAAGGGTGACACTAAATTCCCTTCCCTAGCATCTTCCTCACTCATGTTCCCATAAAACAGGAACTAAACTAAGTAATATAACAGTGTTAATAAATGCCATTTTCAAGAAATTTCAACTAATAAGGAAGGGTATGAGTATAAGATTAGTTTTGTTTGACTAATTATAACTATATCCTGAAAATATTTACATATTTTCTAAGAAATAAAGTTTTTCTTAGAATTGTTTTTAAAGCAAATTTCCCTAAATATTAATGTAGCAATAATCCTAAAAGTAAATCAGAAAATAAAACTTTATCACTTGAGTAAATTTTATTCATAATGAGGTAAAGTTTTAAAATTTTTTCTATAGGGTTATGTTATATATAGCAACACAGGTTGTTAAGACATTAATCGTAATTGAGGATTACTATGAACTACAAAAGTATACATGTTCACAATTTGTTTTTCTACTCCTAAAGCAATCATGTAGATACATTATCTCCTAATACCTAAAAAGATAAAAAGTCTTGAATAATTTTATTTTACCTCCTACTCTTGTGAGTCATGTCTTCCCATTCTGTGGGGAGATGAATTCTGGAATGGGGATGAAGAGTCCAAGATGGCTAGATCTAGTACTCCAAAGCCATACTATTTTAGACCTTGCCTAACCTACACTTAAAAATAATCTTTTAAATTTCAGATTTTTTCTTCTTTAAATTTTACCCTAATCCATTTAATTAGATGTACCTAAATACTTAAAAAGGTCACATCTAATCTTCTCTGACAGACTGATTAGCTTGTGAACATCTAAAAGCACTATAGGAACAGTACGTAAGTGAAGGAAATAAAACTTTTATGCTATATTCCAGTTAACATTTCTATTAGGAATAAAAAGTTAGATCATGTTATTTTTAATTTAAGATCTTGAGTTTACTTAGAAACTTCAAAAACTATTATATAATTTTACTAGGCTCTTTAAACTTTAAGTTCAGTCTGAACATATTTTAATGTTATCAAAAGGAGCTAACACCTTACATCCAATGTTTGACAGAGGGTCAAAAAACAATGACATCAGAAGCAATGTATGGGGGTTGGTGGTATGCACATACTACTTTGTTGACAAAAAAATCTCAGGTAAATCACAATGTTTACTAATTGCTACCAGTTGCCTTGAAGGAATGACTCATAGCAGAGCCAGCATTAATGTCAAATAAGGTTGAAAGGGACATTTTGTCACTTCCAGAGCCCAAATTTCTCATGAAACAAAATATCTTCACAAATCGTGACGCTACTGAAGTCCCCTTTGCCCTCAAAACAAAACCTCAAATTCCTAACCACAGAAGGCTATAATTTACATTTACTAGTTTGACTTTTCACATGACAGCAAGAAGGGCTTTATAAATCCTCAGTAAATCATTATTATGAAAAGAACACATAAAAATTGAAATTTTATGTTATCTTAAACAACCATGATATAATTATGAGCAAAAATATTGGCATTTCAATAGGTTAAGCCTCCCCAGAAAGAAGGGACATTTGCTCAAGAAAATAATGCACTTTAGTGTAATGAAAAGGAAGTTTAATTATACACAAGTAAAAAAGAAAAAATTTTCTTACAGACTGGTTAGTAGTAATGTTACTCAAAAGTTGCCTTTGAAACGTGAAAGACCTAGCTTGCTTTATTATTATTTTTTTTACACTATCAAAAAAGAATGTCTTGCCACAAATGAATAATGGACAGAGAAATATGTCACTGACATGTTTACAATTAGGAAATAACTAAAACCCACTGACAACTGACTAAAAAAATAGTTAATTAGAATATTTATTTTCAAGTAAGGAAAAAGCTAATCTGGTTACAGTTGAGATTTTAATTATCATACTTTTAGATTTATGAGTGGGGGAGTTAAATGCTTAAAAGTTTGTTGTTTTCATTTGGTAGGACTATGAAAAAAAGAGAAAGTGTGGCTACACCTGGCTATGTTATATTTCAGCACAAACTGTCAAGTCATGCCCCCACTCACAGCAATAAAATGCACAAAAACGAAAAGCAAACCAAACAGACTTCCTCACCTGACACAAACTTCTCAGGGGTTTTTTCCACTATTTTTCTGGTTAATGTAACAATCCTACAAGTGTAAATAAAATATCAAAGCATCTTTTTCACCCAGTAAGAAAGCTGCTAGTTATGTGATCTTAGAAAACTCCAAGGAATTTGTAAAACTTGTTCATAATTTAATCAAATGTCTTTTTTTTTTAAAACTGCTTGGTATAAAAATTTACATATGAATTTCATATTCCATCACAGTTACATGGTCCAGTGCATTTCAGAGTATTTGGACATTATCATAGCTGTCCTTTCCCAATGCAAACATTTAAGAAAACTTTTAAGCACTTTTCAAACAAGTGACATAAGGAACTACTTACTTTTGGCTCTTACTTCTTTTACGTACAAATGTGATTATTCACCACAGCAAAACTGTTTGACTATTTTACAGTGTCTATCAACAAGAAGTTCTCTGTTAGATAGAGGGAGCTACAGTGTATTTTGAAGCTATTTCCCAAGAGCTAGTTTAGTAGACAGAAAGAACTTTGGGCTCATCTTTTTTTTTTTTTGGTAAGGTAAATTTTCCATTATGCACATACTATACTATCATCTTACCATCTTTCATTGGATTAAGATTAGCTGGGAAGTAGCTACATATTTTTAGTGAGATCACTGATGGCAACCGACCTCTTAGATCATGCTGGTGCTTATGGTTAAATCACATCTAATGTGAAATTTCGAATTACATCCAGAGCTCCAGTATCAAAGCCACACATATCCAACATGCCTCTATCATCTGGGTCTGCAATGGTAAAACCATTTGACGTCATTCCACAAACAATCAATTTAGCTGGAATGTCCATTTTCTGTAGGAAAAGATCAAAATACATATTTTAAAAATTTATGTAAGCAAAAGCAAGTAACCTCCAAAATTAAAACACTTCAAATTCTATCACAACTTTTCATTTCAAAGTCTTTTATTTTTTTCTCCCCATAAAATTGGTTAATCTTTCAGGGTCAGACTCTGTGATCTTCAGGACAGGAATGTAAACAGCCTGCCTGAAATTCCCACTTCTCTGTTCCATGGGCCATAGAATGCATTCTTTTTTTTTTTTTTTTTAAGATTTTATTTATTATTTGACAGAGACACAGCGAGAGAGGGAACACAAAGCAGGGGGAGTGGGAGAGGGAGAAGCAGACTTCCCCACGGAGCAGGGAGCCTGATGAGGGGCTCAATCCCAGGACCCTGGGATCATGATGTGAGCCAAAGGCAGACGCTTAATGACTGAGCCACCCAGGCGCCCCTATAGAGTGCATTCTTATGCAGCCTAGACTTTCTACTTATGAAACCTGTCAGGACATCTGGGGGCATCAGATATTTTTACCAATATATGAAACACTGGGGCAGTGTGTGTGGGTATATATAAAGAAATATTTCCCTGCGATTATCAACTTTTGGTCTATGGTTTTGTTATATATACATGTCACATGTAAGAACTTGTTCTCTACAGCTATGACTTTAGGTTAAAATAATTGAATTTTGGAGAAAACCCAATAACCACTGAGTATACAATATGCCAGATACCATAATGAACTCGTTAAGTAACTTATCTAATGTAATTGTTATAACTCTAAAAGATTAGTACTGTTAAATACTATGACATGTATCAGTTAAATAATTTGCATAGGTCCACAGTTAGTAAAAGAGAAAGACCCAGGACTCAGAATCCAGGTTGCCTTGACTACAATTTCTGTTCTCTCCCTTTTTCTCAAACTTAACATACATTAGAATCCCCAGGAGGGTTTGTTAAAACATAATCCCACTCTCCAGTTTCTATTTAGCAGGTCTCCCATGGGGTCCAGGCATTTGCAATTCTAACAAGGTCCCAGGCTAAGGCTGCTGATAGGAAAACCCCAATCTGAGAACCAGAACTCCTCAAGTTCTAGTTCTCATCATACTAGCCACAATTCAAGTGCCTGATAGCCATATGTGACTAGTGGTTACCACACTGGATACTGTAGATAAAGAACATTTCCATGATTTCAGAGAGAGCACTGATTAGAACACAGAAATAGCCATACAACTTAAAACACAGATGATAGCTTTGCTTTAACTTTATGTAGTGCTTTAACAAAATTAATAAATGATACTTTAATTTTTCAAGGAGCACAATGAATTATTAAAAATTCAGAGTTAAGGGAAAATATTTTTATTATTGCCAAAAATAGTTTGCAGAGAATATTTTAGTAATGTATAGAATTGGGACTAGTTGAAATAAACCATGTATGTATAGCCAATATTTTTTATTTCAAGTACTGTTGAACTGGCATATCCCTATACAAAGGTACAGAACTATCTTCAGTATTTTTTGGAAAAACAAGATGGATATTTGAGAACTAAGTCTTATTTGGGGTGAAAAAGAATATTAGAATTTTACCTTTCGATACTCCCTGAGAGCAACAGCAGGATGGACACTTCCAGCAAAAGTCTCATTATCAGTGAAGACAATGAAGACATCAGCAGCTGTGTTTGTCTTTTGAGCCCAGATCATTGGAAGAGAGCAATCAGTTCCACCTGCTGGGATCTAACTCAGAACAAAAACATGGATAAGAATAAAAGTGTCCTAGTTTCCATACTGAGATGTCTGAAATAATTAAATACTTAAAAATACTATTTTTTACATTATCACTTTGCTTACAGCTAATACACAGACCTTCTCAAAGCATGTGTATATATTTATTATTTTGTGCTCATGGGAAAACTGAGATAAAACTATTTGTTCTCATAAACTTATTAATATCAGGCATAACATCAAAATAAGATTATTATATAACACGTTAAGTAAACTTAATAAAACAGTTCCGTACCTGATTCATAGCCATTAAAACCTGTTGTAATGTCATATCTGTAGTCACTGGACATGGTACCATTTCATCTGAAAAAGCAACTACATAAGAATCTTTTTCTGTTCGTGTGACAACCTGAAAAATTCAAAGATGGTACTTTTCAGCAGATTTGGGTGAAATAAACACAGTATCTTGAAGTTCATAAAACTTCATCTTTAGAAAATGTTTAATTTGGGGTGCCTGGGTGGCTCAGTTGGTTAAGCGTCTGCCTTCAGCTCACGTCGTGATCCCGGGGTCCTGGGATGGAGCCCTGCATCGGGCTCCCTGCTCGGTGGGGAGTCTGCTTCTCCCTCTCCCTCTGCCCCTCCCTCCTACTCCATGCTCTCTCACTCAAATAAAATCTTTAAAAGAAAAGATACTTATTTTATTTCTAAACTTACTTTGTTTTGGAACTACACAGTAACAGTATAGCTTTCAAAGTACTTTCACAAACTGTTACAAAGCAATTGGTTCTCATAACTATCCTTTGAAGCAAACAGAGTATATGTTCTTCTCATTTTATTAAATAAAGAATAAAGCCACAGAAGAGAAGTGACAGAGTCAGGCTAGAACCAAAGTCTGTTATTCTTAGTTCCTGATTTTTTAACTTCTGTATTTATTAATAATTTCTCTAAGCATTATCTACTTTCTCAACAATACATTATTTAATATTTGATAAAATTAAAATTTCTATTGTTATTAGACATGCTTTATAAATATTACCTACAATACTGTATGCATACAGTATACTTAAAACTTGTTTTTTTTTCTTGAGAGAAAGAAAAAGCACGCACATCAGTGGGGAGGGGCAGAGGGAAAGCGACAATCTTAAGCAGGCTCCATGCCCAGTGTGGAGCCCGATGTAGGCTCAAACTCACTACCCTGAGATTGTGACCTGAGCCAAAATCAAGAGTTGGATGCTTAACTGACTGAGCCACCCAGGCTTAAAACTTTGCTTATGAAGCAAAATGACAAAAGCGAGTGAAAACGTAATCCTGATCATACCTAACTTTATAGTTTTGCCCCACATTAAACATTTTTTAGGGTGGCAAAAATTCTAAATTGTCTTAGTGTTCTCACCATGCACATTGCTGCAGCAACTGTGCTAGCATTGAGTACACTACCCAAAACTCTCTGGTTCATAGAAGCACTGACATCAATAGCCAGCAAGAAACGCTTTCCAGTTGGCTCCACTGTCTGAAAACAAAACAAAACAAAACAAATCATTAAAAGCAATCACAGAAATTACAATTAGATTCCTAAAAATCATTATTTACTCATCTTTCACTTGAGAGACTTCTAAGATAAAAGATGTGATTTTTGATTTACCAATTAATTGACAAGTACTTGAAAATGCTTAGCTTTTACTAGAGGGGAAAAACAAAGGAAATAAGATAGCCCACTTAGTAATTTTATTTAAAGAAGTTACCATATTCCTGTGTTTTCTTTTTTAGAAATCATTCCTCATAAAGTAAACTGAGAATTTCTAGCAAAATGTTTGTGGTAAAATATAAATAACATAAATTGCTTTTAAATCATTTTTAAGGGTACAATTTCATGGCATTAAGTACATTTACAATGGTATGTAACCACCACTATCTATTTCCAGAACCTTTTCATCATCCCAAATAGAAACTCTGTATCCATTAATAACTCCCCATTCCCATCCCCCCTTAGCCCCTTGCAACTGTTTTACTTCTTTTTTATGAATTTGCCTATTCCAGATACCTCATATAAATGGAATCATATAATACCTGTCCTTTAGTATCTGGCTTATTTCACTTAGCATAATGTTTTCAAGGTTCATGTTGTAGCATGTTTCAAAATCCATTCCTTTTTAAAGCTGAATACTCCACTGTATGTATATACTGTATTTTGTTTATCCATTCATCTCTTGATGAACACTTGGGTTGTTTCTACCTTTTAGCTATTGTGAATAGTGTTCCTATTATCATTCATTTACAGGTACATTTGATTCTCTGTTTTCAATTCTTTTGGGTATATACATAGGTGGTGGAAATGCTGGATGGCATGGTAATGCTATGTTTAACTTTCTGAGGAACAACCAAACTTTCCACAGGCCTATACCAGTTTACATTCCCACCAGCAGTGTACTAGGGTTGCAATTTCTCCTATCCTCCCAAAGGCTTGTTATTTCTGCTTTTTTGATAAGAACCAATGATTTGCATTTCCCTGATGACTAATGATGTTGAACATCTTTTCACGTGCTAATTGGCTAGTTGGATATCTTCTCTGGAGAAATATCTTGTTCAAGTACTTTCCCCATTTTTGAATTGGTTTTTTTGTATTTTTACTGTGGAGTTAGAGCACTTTATATATGTTCTAAACATTAAAAAGCTATCAAATATATATCTACAAATATTTTCTCCTATTCTGTAGGTTATCTTTTCATTCTCTTGATAGTGTCCTTTGATGCACAAAAGGTTTATTAAATTTTGATGAACTCCATTTACTTTTCCTTTTATTGCCTGTGCTTTGGTGACATATGTAAGAATCTATTGCCAAATCTAATGTCGTGAAACTTCCACTCTTATGTTTTCTTCTAAGAGTTTTATAGTTTCAGCTCTTAGATAGAGGTCACTGGTCCACTTTAATTTTTGTATGTGGTGTAATTTAAAGAGGCAAGTTTGTTCTTTTAACGTGGTTATCCAGTTTCCCCAGCACCATTTTTTGAAGACCAGCTTTTCCTGCGTTAGCCTGTTTTGACACTCTTGTCAAAAAGCAATTGATCACACGTGTGAGAGTTCATTTCTAGCCTCTGCATTCTATTCCATTGGTCTATGTATTTGCTTTATGCCAGTACCACACGGTTGTGATTACTGTAGCTTTATACTGTTTTGAAACCCTTAAGTTTGGAAGTGTGAGTAGTCCAACTTCATTCTTTCTTTTTCAAGGTTGGTTTTTTTTTTTTTTAATATTTTATTTATTCATTTGACAGAGAGAGAGAACAGAAGTAGGCAGAGCGGCAGGCAGAGAGAGAGGGAGAAGCAGGCTCCCCGCGGACCAGGGAGCCCGACGCAGGGCTCGATCCCAGGACCCTGGGATCATGACCTGAGCTGAAGGCAGATGCTTAACCGACTGAGCCAAGATTGGTTTTGTTATTTGGGGGTCTCTTGAAAGTCCACATAAATTTTACAGTGGGTTCTATTTCTGCAAAACATGCCAGAGGAATTGCACTGAATGTGCAGATTGTTTTGGGTAGTACTGTCATCTTAACAAGTCTTCCAAACCATGTCTTTCTCCCCATTTATTTATGTCTTTTTAAACTTCTTGCAGCAATGTTTTATAGTTTTCAGTTTATGAATCTTGCACCTTCATAGTTTATTCCTAAGTCTTTTTATTTTATTTTATTTTTTTGATACTACTGTAAGTGGAAATGTTTTCTTAAGGCTAATCAAAGGCTAAATCCTTTGGATTGTTCATTGCTAGTATATAAAAATACTAATGATTTTAGTATTTTAGAAAAACCTATTGGTTTTATATCCTGCAACTCTGCTGGATTTGTTTGTTGGCTCTAAGCTCTCTGTGAATTCTGTAGGCTTTTCTCCTTATAAGATCATGTCATCTGAGAACAGAGATAATTTTTCGTCCTTTCCAATCTGGATGCCTTTTATTTATTTTTCTTGCCTAACTGCTAGAACTTCCAGTACTTTGTAGGACTAAAGCGGAAAAAAGTTGGCATTTTTGTCTTGTTCTCTAGATTTGGGAGAAAAGATTTCAATCTTTCACCATTGAATATAATGATAGCTCTGGGTTTTTTATATATGGCCTTCATCATGTTGAGGAAGTTCATTTCTATTCCTAGTTTATTGTTTTTTTAAATCATGAAATGGTACTGAATTTTGCCAAATGCTTTTTCTGCATTGAGATCGTGTGACTGTCCTTTCATTCTATTAATGTGATGTTTTACATTGATTTTTGTATACTGAAGATAAATTTCATTTGTATAATCCCTTTAATTTGCTGAATTTAGTTACTATTTTGCGGAGTAACAAGTAACAAATTTTAAAATTTAAAACAATTTTAAAGCCAAAAACTTTAACTTAAAGCTCTGATGTAGGATTTTCAGTCCTAAAAAAAAATCACTTCCCACCAAGACAGAGGAGATCCACTACTGATTAAGAGAATGACAGAGGACCAAGTCAAAGGACTCTACAGGAATAAAAAATTTTAAATTTGGTATCTTAAAACTTAACAAAATTATTTTATGATTGGGTATTGTCCATAGGTAAGGAGAAATTCTTTAATCATAAACTTAACAATGTTAATTATATATCCACATTTACATGAACTATGGAAAAACAAATGAGTATCTAATAAAAAATGGTTAAACTACTAGTATCATCTTTAAAATGTGTTTTTATAAAATATATCAAGTCCCAACTGGGTCATTTGTTATAAAACAAAAGTCAAACCATTACCTTAAATGTTTTATAAAAAGCAGCATCCAAAGCTTTCAAAATTTCCTCATCAGGGCGCCACTTTAGTTTTCCTCTGAGACCATGACCTGTCTTATAAGTTTCTGATGCAATTAAAACATGAAATGGATGTATACGAGCCTAGAAACAAGACAGAGACAGAAAGTAAATGCAAAATTCAAATGAAAGATAGTCATTATGTGTCTTAGGTTTTGTTACTGTAGCTAATAAATATATTTCATAGAGAAAAAACAAAAACGAGGACATAGATTTCAGAGTTAAATGAAATCTGGTATGATAAAAGTATCCAAGTCTCAGAACATCTGTAACTGCACTGGCTACATTTCCAAAATTTAGGAGGTGACTTTTTCAATTAGTAGTAGCTAACAAAGGTAATGCTTACCTTTTTCTTTTCTTTTCTTTAAGATTTTATTTATTTATTTGAGAGCGTGCACACGCACACACACACACACACACAAGCGGGGGGGGGCAGGAGGGAGAGGGAGAGGGAGAGGGAGAAGTAGGCTCCCTGCTGAGCAGGGGGATCTGAGGAACCCGGGATCATGACCTGAGCCAAAGGCAGATGTTCAACCGAGCCACCCAATGCTTACCTTTTTTAACAGTTTTTCATTACACAGTTTTTCACATACTAAAGATACTTCTGAATTTCCTGGTTCAAGCACTGAATTAGCCGTCATCTTTCCTAGATTCCTTAGTAATGTGGTAAGAGGCATTTCTTGTAACAAAGCCTTCCATACCTATTGAAGTGACACAGGTAGAAATATAAGAAATTAAGGGCAAATGAATCAGTATAATAGTGGTATCAATAATAATATTACTAACATATTCTTTAAGGCTTTCTTTTGGGGTTCTAAGTATTTCCTAAATAAAAAGATTTGTACATTGGTTAAAGGCTTATCAAATTAATTTGCTCTTTACTAGAGTAAGTAAAGTATATTTTATGAAGAACTGCACAGAATTTTATTTATTTATTTTTAATTAGCAAGGCAAATTAGCCAGCCTTTATGAAGCAGAAATAACACTTAACTGAATGCCAACTACATCTGGGCACTGTATTAAGTATTTTAAATAAATATTAATTTCAAGGTATTAATTACATTTTTGTTAAAAAGAACTGATGTTACCCATCTTATAAATTACATATCTTAAATTTTATACATATCACATCATAAATTTTAATACATAATACAAACCACAAATTACTCACATGTTTAATCACATGCTATAATATACTTACCTCTTTAGACTTTAAATGATTTGTTAGAAGATGTTCCCTAACTAATCTATGCTCTTCTATTAGATGAATGACTTCCAGTTCATCTTTTGTGCGTTTCACTTTCTCTACAGCCTCCAGATACTTTAATAATTTTTCAGTCTCCACAGAAAGTGCTTTTTCTTTATACAATTCATGGACTTCTTTCCAGCCCTTTGTAATATATTTGGTCACAATAGCAAGTCCTTTAAGAAAATAAAGAATTGAAATGGCATGAGAATTTCTGGGTGAAAAACAGAACATGTTTACTGAGAATGAAATAACTAGATACAGAGGAGCTAAACTCTACACTGTGAGGCTACTTTCTATGATATAAAAAAGACATTTAAGCCAATGGAGTCAAATAATTTTGTTTATTCCATCATAATTGTTTTAATATGAGGCTCTGGAAAAAAATCTCCTATATTCTAAGTCATTTTATTATAGAGTTTTTTTCTTTTTTGAGACACCAGCATTAGAAACTTTGGTAGACAATACCTATCTCAGGTCTACAATCTCAGAATGGTTCACAAAGTACAGATCTGTCTCAAATAATCTATTCACTTGTCCCTTTCCACTACTAAATAAATAAGCATTTACAAGTAGCAGAGATAAGTGGAAGTGGACAGGTAGGTAAGTAATTCGTTTTTTTTTTTAAATAAATGAGAAAGTATTACAGGCCAAACTAAAGAAAAACAAGGTGTTCATTTCTTTTGTAATTTCTTTTAATAGTGGAAAGAACTTTGGATTGGGGTGCTGAGGAAGCTTGGGTTCTAGCCTACATTTTATCAATAAATGGCTGTGTGACCAATCTGGGCCTTAGCTTTCACTTCTGTAAAATGGGGAAGAGGATGTTTGAGTTATCAGACTCAAAGAGGCCTATGGGGTAAATGTTGGTAAAATAAATAAATGGCACAGGTCATGTAATAGAGAGTGGTTAAGATGATGGAACGAACTAAAGAGTACAACCTACTAATGTTTTAGCGAAATTTTGGCTTAGTGCTACCAAATAAAGTATTTTCAAGCTAGAATAGGTATTTTTATGTGATGTCTTCTGATTTTTTTAAAGTGATGTTAGCAAAGAATTCATTTTTTCCTTAAAATATTGTGCAGGCCAAATAAAATCCATCCTTAAGGCAGACTGAGACTATGTGTTATCTCTGGACTCTAAATAATTTGATCAAAAGTCAATACTAATATGTAGGGACTTCTAAAGTATTCTGACTCTTGCTAACATCCAGTTTTTAGTACAGAATTTTATAGTCTTAAATTACTAAATGTTTCGTATGTGAGCATGTCTTCTATTTTGTCTTTCCAACTAAAATATAACTTCCTTAAAGGCAGGCTTATTATTATTTTTATCTTACTCAAGTTCTATGTTGGCCACACAGTAAGTATACAATAAATACCTGATTAATTAAATTACATTTTGACGTGTTTCATCTGTTTCAAATACACATTTCAGTTAAAGTATTCCAATATTACTTATTTTGGAAGCTTAGAGTTTCTTTCCAAATTCTTTTCACTCTGAGAAATCTAGGGATCTCTTACACCTGAACATGTTGCTATTACTACAAGATTTTAAGTATGAGTTCTGCCCTCAAAAAATTTAGAATTAAAGAATACTGTCTGTGGGAGCAAGTTTAGGGAACATCTACTAATTCCTCATTTTATAGAACAAGAATTCAAAACCCAGAGTAACTATCTGCACAAATTCAGAAACTAGTTTTTCCAATTATAACTAGCACTTAGGTACACACCACCATGTAGTGTCTCAAGAGACAAAGCTGGATCCCTACATTCTTCTTATACTGAATTAAAGATTTAAAAACAAAAAATTAAAGCATGAATATGTTAGAGAAAAAAACCAGGTAAATATTTTTATGACTTTAGGTTGGAAAAGGCCATTCTAAACCTAACACAAAACAAAAATCTATGGGGCGCCTGGGTGGCTCAGTTGGTTAAACGACTGCCTTCAGCTCAGGTCATGATCCTGGAGTCCCAGGATCGAGTCCCGCATTGGGCTCCCTGCTCGGCGGGGAGTCTGCTTCTCCCTCTGACCCTCCCCACTCTCATGTGCTCTCTTTCTCTCTCAAATAAATAAAATCTTTAAAAACAAAACAAAAAAATCTATGAAGAAAAACAGTCAAGTTTCATTACATTAAAATTCCAAACCTCAATATGCCAGAAACCCCCATCAAAAAAAACTGAAAGACAAAGAAAAAAAGGGGGGGAATGCGCATGATATGTATATAATATGAAGTTATAAATTCCTATGTGTCCCAAGTTCTTAGAACAGCGCCCATCCATTTGGTGCTCAATAAATATTTGTTGAATGAATGAATGGTGACAATCAATATTAAGATAAGCAACTCAATGGAAAAAAGGACAAAGATATACTCAAAAAATTACATATAATCAACATATGAGAAGATGAACATTTGCCCACAAATTCAATAAGATATAATTTTTCACCTACCCTCTTGGCAGAGATTAAAAAACACTGGTAATAGTCGGTGTTCAAATGTGGAGAAACCGGCCACTTCTATATACTCTGTGGGTTTACCCATTATATAAATATTTACATTATGCAAGTTTTTTCACTGTAGCAGTTTTGTAATAGTATAAGAAACCAGAAGCTATTTCACTGTCATCAGTAAGAGACTAGCTAAATTACAGTATATTCATACAATGGTATATAAGCAACTATTTCTACTGACTTGAAGAAATATCAATATGCTTTTAACTGAAACAAAGAAGGTATATAAAAATTTAAAACACTGTATGTTTAGGAGTCATATACAACACGTAACAGTGATTTCTTTTGAAGGGCAGGACTCCTACTTTCTGCATTATATTTTTATGTATTATCCAGCTATTTTAAAACAAACATATAATTTCTAATAAAAAACCAAAATACAAATGGGTTTGTTTATATAACTATTTGCAATAATTTACTGTTTAAATTTCATTTTAAAAAGGCCATTCATAATAAAATGGATAAATGAGGAATTAATGAGGAGCTGTCTTTTCAAGTTTCACTTGTGGTATTAAAAAGGAGCAAATTTTGGAAATGTTATGGAAGTTCATATTTTACATTATTCTTGCCCAAATGTTTTTCTTATTTCCCTTCTAAGAAGGACTAAGTAATTATCATACATCCAACTAACTTCTCAAAAGTCTCTTTCCATAGACAGAAAAACTGCCCCAAGTTACCAGGTCCCCTGGCTGACTGCTTGGAGACAATTAACATCCTGAATTGTTAAGTTCAGCACTATTTCAGGTAGCCTTTAGGTTCCATGGAACATATATCCTAGGAAGACAGGGAGGGAAAAAAATCGTAAGGGACTAGAGCAGTATAGCCTCTGGCTATCTGCCATCTATTGGCTAGGAGCTGTTTTGCTTATTACTACAACTTTAATCATGTCCATGCTGCTTTCATAGTGTATAATCACTTGGGTAAGCATTCTAGTTAGCATGGTGACATTCTGAGATTTAGATTAATCTGTATCTGTCATTTGATCCTTGATTAGTAACGTCTGGATTGCCTGTGGTAGGGGTTTAATTCCAGGTTGGCATTAAACATTTGAATTAGTCAACCACTGTGTTTTGAAACTGAAAGGCTATTTCTAGAAGATATTACATAATTATCTTATGTCAAATAAAAATTTGGTGTTTACCAGATATCTGCAACCTCCCCCAACCCAAAGATCTTATGCTTACCTTCACTGGAAGGTTTAAGATGTGACAATCTTAACAGATCTTTGTGAGACCAGCCATTTCTTTGTTTATACTTTGTAACTGCCAGAGCAAGGGCCATGCCCCCCTTTTCATTGTACCAGTCTGCTATAGCCTTCCGGAGAGCACGACCCCACATGCCACATTTCATGCTTTCCTTCAGATCTTTCTTAAACTGGATAAAAGTAAAGAGATGTGTAGGAATGCGACAAACTTCAGAAACAGCTTTAAATGCTGCTTGTTTTGTGCTTATGTCGGAACACTGAGAACAAATGGCAAGTGCAAAGAGCATAGGCTCTTGCTTTGCGGTTCTGCCTTCTTGACTAAATGACTTTATTTCCTGGATCACTTCACATCCTCTTCCATCTTCAATCAGTCTAATTAAAGCTTCAGCATTTTCAAGGCCCAACTTCTGTTCTTTGATATAATAAGTCCCACCTTCAGAACCAAAACATAAGAATCGGTGTAGTCGATTCATATCAGTGACTTGCCATACATATCCATCTTCAGAATTGGGTATTTGTTTCTCATTCAGTGGTTGCATTTGGTTTACTGATTCCTCCATTTTTCTTTTAGGAAACCTATCAAAAAGCAAAATGTTATTATAGCTAGAAAGAAAACAGTAAAATTATAAAAAGGAAAACATTTATTAATCTATGCTTTTTGAAATGTTACAAAATCTTTGATTTTTTTAAAAAAAGATTTTGAGAGCATGTGTGTGTGTGTGCGCGCGCGCCAGCGTACACATGCACACGATGCACACGTGCACTCACAGGGTAGAGGGGCAGAAGCAGACTCCCCACTGACTGTAGAGTCTGCAGCTCAGGGCTCCATCCCAGGACTCTGAGATCACGACTTGAGCCGAAGTCAGAGGCTTAACCGACCCAAGGTGCCCCTGTTACACAATCTTTTTAACTTAACAGGTATTTTTTTTAAGCTCATTAAGTGGTAGCATGATAGCCAGAAGCAACTAGGTTACATTTCTGAGGTATAGTTTGTTGTTTCAGAGACTAAGCCCACAGCTCAGCATGGGGCCTGGGGGCCTAGAAAGAGAATAAAAGGGTTAGGGAGGGCAGCTTTGGTAGCTGAGGCTAAAAAAGATCTTACTCCCTTTACTCTCCCAATAACTGGGTACACAGTTTTGGTTGCATATCCAACATCCATTCCTTCCCTCCCCTTTTTTCCCAGGCAGGAAAGTTCTTCAGGGGAGGCTAGCCTTTTCTCCAGCCCTAAGGGATGAATCCTGATTGCTCTAAGCCAGTGGTTTTCAAACTATTTGCATCACATGTACTTGAATTGCTAGTTAAAACACAGAGTGGTGGGACCCACCCACCATCCCCAAAGTTTTTTTTTTAGATTTTTTATTATTGTTATTTTTTTATTTGACAGAGAGAATACAAGCAGGGAATGCGGCAAGTAGAGGGAGAGGGAGAAGCAGGCTCCCTGCTCAGCAGGGAGCCCGGATGTGGGGCTGGATCCCAGGACCCCCGGGATCATGACCTGAGCCAAAGGCAGATGCTTCACCGTCTGAACCACCCAGGCGCCCCTCCAAAGTTTCTTTTTTAATTCAGTATGTCTGGGGTAAGGCCTATGCATTTGTACTTATCACAAGTTCCCAGATGATGCTCTCATTTCTTTGGCCATGTGACAAGTATAGGAAAGGGCATGTAACTGGCCACTGTGGCACGTTTAAGTCTGCAGAGAATACTTTTGAGATTTTCTTCACTTTTAAAAGTGGGCTTGGGCTCTTAAAAAGGAATGTTCCCCTTTCTACCTTCAGATATTCATTTACAAGTGATGCTTGGAGTAGTGGGTTAGAGCCACAGGGGAGTCAGTTTATGAAGACACACTAATTTATAAGCACAGTAGAACTGAAAAAAGAAAAAAAATTAGAATCTGGGTCCCTGCTATCTATGAGCTACCTGGAAATGCCTTACTTACAAATTTCAGAATATATCATAAATGTATCCTTATTGTTTAAGCCATTTGTAAGTTTTCTGTTACCTATGGTTGAGAGCATCCTAATTGATTAAATTCCTATCAACTATGCTCATTTATAGCTTATGTGATCTGTAACTACCTGTGCTTTCCTCCTTCCATTAACCCTAAAGCTACTAGAACTAGCTGTAAGACAGCAATATCCCCTTTCGTCCTCCTAACAGCGCAACCATAACCGTCCACTACTTTATCAGTCCACTGCTACTCTTAATACAGTAGAGCTGCTTATCCAGTTGCTCCAAGTCTCCTGCCTATACCATTATAGTGCACTGCACTAGGCTTCTCCCCATGGCAAACAAAACAAAACAATACAACCAACAACAACAACAAAAACTTAACCAGCATTTACTGCATGTTATGTGTAAGACATTAAAGAGATTCCTGTTCAATTAAAAATATTTTTTTTAAATTCCCCCCCACCCCCCCAAAAGGTTTTTTTCTTGCCCTTAGAAAAACCACATTCTGTTTGGTGAGGCAGAAATATATACACATACAAAGCCAACTGTAATTAAGTGCTTTAATAAAAAAGTACTGTGTGAGTCAGCAGAGGAGAATAAAATAATGCTGTTTCAATAATACAAGAAGACTTGTGCAGAGAAGGCAAACTGAAAAACTGGTATATTAAGTTTGGGGGAATGTGTTCCAGAAAGGGATTCTGAAATCTTGCTATCTTTAGATTTTAGAAAAAGAACTAAGTATACTGGCACAGCTATAAAGAAATGACAGATAAGGTAGTAGCTTAAAGAGCAACACAAGGTAAGACATTTTGTTTTGGGGATGGTACAAGTTTGAACATGTTTATATATTGTGGGTAAGCCTTAAGATGGAATCCTGGTGAATATTAATAATTAAGAGCTAGGGAAAGGGGCACCTGGGTGGCTCGGTTGGGTGTCTGCCTTCAGCTCAGGTCATGATCTTGGGGTCCTGGGATGGAGGACCACATTGGGCTCCCTGCTCAGCGGGGAGTCTGCTTCTCCCTCCCCCCTGCTCCTGCTCTCTTTCTCAAAAATAAATAAATAAAATCTTTAAAAAAAGAGCTAGGGAGAAAAAGGCCCCTTTTAAAGGAGAAAGAGAAGGAGGGGTACATAGCAAACCAGAACAGCAGTATCATGGACCATAGGGAAGAGAATTTCAAGGAGTCAGTGGCTGGTAATTGCCAAATGCTCAGAGATGAAGTAAAATAACTCGGGAAAATGACCACTGGATTAGCAAACAGTAATGATGAGGAAGGGCAACTGTAGTAGAGTTCTGCAAGAGAGAGCCTGATCACAGTGGTAAGATTAGGAGTATGCGGGCGCCTGGGTGGCTCAGTTGGTTAAGCGACTGCCTTCGGCTCAGGTCATGATCCTGGAGTCCCGGGATTGAGTCCCACATCGGGCTCCCTGCTTAGCAGGGAGTCTGCTTCTCCCTCTGACCCTCCCCCCTCATTGTCTCTCTGTCATTCTCTCTCTCTCAAAAAATAAAAAAAAATAAAAAAAAAAGATTAGGAGTATGCAATGAGGGAGAGACTTCAAAGGTGGACTACTCTTTCAGGACGGTAACAGAGAAGATGAGAACATGAAGAAAAATCTTTTTACCTTTCTAGATGAGAGGACACTGAGGCTGAAGTTGAATGATTCAATTTGGAGACTGGAAAACAGTAAAGAATATAACTGAGGGAATGAGATCACTAAAAGCGGAACAGAATGAGCTTTAGAGCGTCCAGGTTGAGACTGGCCTATTGACAGCAAAAGAGGTATCTCCTTCACTAAGGGTGAAGATGGTGGGTTTGAGAAAAGAGAGAAGAATACGGAAATTGAGGAAGTTTCCAATGTAGGAAGTCTGGTATGCAAGGGAGCAATGAGGCTGGGTCTCAGAATGGTGTGGGGATAAATGCACTGGAGAATGGAAACCCTCACATTTTGAATGTGACTGTGGCGGGGGGGTGATTTGGATTGTGTTGGAAATAAACAGCGTCACATTTCAAATAAAGCTCTGGTATAAAGTAGCTTATGTTAAGGCAGGCCTAGGCCTCAGGTGTCAAGTGTAATGATCATATTATATTAGTCATTAGGGACTGATTTATAGTTACCCAGTGCAGTATAGACTGGAACTCCTGGTGCAACAGATGATGCTTCTGCTATTTATTCTTACCCTTTTCAATATGGCTTCTTATCCGCCTTTCAATCAAAAAAACTTTTGAGAATAACAGGCTTCTCAAAGACTGACACCTTAACTGCTAATTCCAGTGGAAAATTTTCTATTACTTTGACTTTTACACTGCATTTGACATTGCTAGCTTCATCTCTAAAGCTTTTACAAAAATATCCTTGGGTGGTACTTTAACCTGGCTATTCCTGCTTATTAGCTGTATTTGTTAGATGAATAATATTGAAATGATACTCAATATCAGATTATGCTAATAAAACAGCTTTCCTGAACCAAAATCCAAGAGGTGTGATTTAAAGGTCCCAATCCAAATCTCAAAATTCCCTCCCCTCAAAATTCTTTCCCTTGTTATTATTCTTTGTGAGTATGTCTAGCTAATATTAGTTCCTTTAAGAGCAGGGATCTGGTTTAGTTATGTATCCCTTCTCTGAACCTAGAGCACCACTAAGTAATACATACTTGAGGATAACTAAGCAGTATTAAGTGATTTTCTGAACCATCTAAGAATCATGTATGACTGGTTTTTCTCTCCTGTAACACATTTATTTTGAAAATAAGACTCAACGTGTGCAATTAAAAATGTAATTCAAGCCTTTAAGATAAATTCTGTAATCAAGAAAAAATATACTATATACAGGTAGTGGATATACAATCAAGAAAAATTAAACGTGAAAAAGTTACAAAGAGGAAGTAATGAGTACGGAGTAAAAATGTCTTTTGAGCAGAACAGTTATCTCTTTGTAAGTTTTTCTAATATATTTAATATTAGGTATTCAAGTTATCTTTTGTTGAGCAAGCAGAAAAATGAACTTTTAAATCTAGGGTAGATGCTTAAAAGCAATCCCTAAATGTAATCCTTGTAATCCCTATTACAAGAAATGTAGTTACTTACTCACTGCCTTATCAAAGGAATCTTACTCTTGTATATATTAAAAACAACCACGAAGACCTACCCTTTAAACATTTCTGCAGGAAAAAAGGCTCAGCTTTTCACATGCTTCGGTGACTATTCTTTCCAGGATGCAACATAAAACAGTGGAACAGATCACATGAATGGCCCTTCTCTACTCATTTGTATAAATTTGCCAGAATCAAATTTTTAAAAGTGAAATATGAAAAGCGGAATGGCAGCAGTTCTAAGCTACTCTCCTTGTCCCTAAGTGCTGATATATAAATTAACTTTAAAATTGGCTGGGTGATAAGACAGTGGTATAATAAAGAGTATCTAGTTTTTGTCCATGTTTCTTGGCAGGGCTTCAAAAATCCTTGGAATTTCCAGATTGATAGGAGTCTTTGTTATGCTAATGTGGCAATTCATTCTGGGCTTCAGGATGGGGGAGGGTCACCGGAAAGCCCAATCATTTGATTAAAGAGTTGGAATTCTGGGCCAGATCAAACACCCCAGGAGGGGTGTAGGGTCCAAGGCTGGGCTCAACCACATAGTCAACCAGTCACAATCAATCATGCCCCATGATAAAATCCCATGTACAAACTCTGAACATCGAAGTTCAGTGGAGCTTCCTAACTGGTTAAGAAATTGATGTGCTGGGAGTATGAACTACCAGGATTCAACACAGAGGGTATTCCCTCTCCTGCTTCTAGACTTTGGCCTATATGTGACTTCCACTTGGCTGTTCCTGAGTCATATCCTTTATATTAAAACTATAATCATAAGGATAGTGCTTTTAGTGAGTTATGTGAGTCATTCTAGTGAATTATCGACCCCAGGGGGGTTGTGGGAAGACTTACTGTATTTGGTTGCATAGACTAGGGACCCTACTCTAGCTGGTGTCTGAAATAAGGGCAGTCTTGTTGGGGATCTTGCCCTCTAACTTGTGGGATCTGAAGCTAACTCTGGAACTGAAATGAATTGCAGGACAGAGTCTGTGACAGAGAAGTGATCTCAAAACAGACACCAAAGGCAAAAGTAACAAAAGAAAAAAAAGATAAACTGGATTTCATCAAAATTTAAAACTTGTGTTTCAAAGAATACCACCAAGAATGTGAAGAGATCCCATGGAATGGGAGAAAATAGTTGCAAATCATACCATAAGGAACTTATATCTAGAATATATATTAAAAAAACCCTCCTAACTCAATAATAATAAAATAACCCAATTAAAAAACAGGCAAAGCATCTGAGTAGGCACTTCTTCAAAGATACACAAATGGCCAATAAATACATAAAAAGATGCCGAATATCAGTACTCACTGATGTGGAGAACAAAGGAGAAAGAAATACAGAAAAAATTAAATTTCCTTTGCAGCCCATTGACAAGTACTTGGGACAGGCAGAGAGAACTTGGTTATCAAGGAGCTTAGGTAGCTGTCTCAACGTTAATAAGGCAAAAGGCAACCTTAGCTTGACATTAGCCCAACCTCCAGGATCCTATCACAATCCTTTTGAAAATTTCCTTTATCTCTATCCCCTTCCTCCAGATATATGTTAGCAGTCATCCTCCAAGCATCTGGCCTCCTGATATACATCTGAGTCTTATAACTAAGGTTTTATTAGACAGTAATAAATGACATTTTCCTAACAGCTAGCCCCTCAAGGTCCTGGAAACCTTGCTTTAAGTCTCCCTAACACCTTCCCAATTTGAAAGTATATAATCAGCCACTCCTCACAACCCCAATTCAGCTCTTTCTGCCCACGGGTCCTGTTCCTATGTTTAAATAAAACCACCCTTTCTGCACTAAAGACATTTCAAGAATTCTTTCTTGACTGTTTGCTCCTGAACCCCAACAGTTCATATCACTCATCAGGGAAATGCAAGTCAAAACTGAAATGAGATACCACTTCACACTCACTAGGATGGCTACAATGAAAATGAAGTAAGTGTGGGTAAGGATCTGGAGAAATTAGAACCCTCATACATTGCTAGTGGTAATGTAAAATGATGGATCACATGGTAACTCTATATTTAACCTTCTGAAGAACTGCCAGACTCTTCTCTGAAGTGGTAAGGGGTTTCTTTTTGGTGTGGTGAAGATGTTCTGAAACTAGATAGTGGTGATGGTTACACTGATAGGGAAACTGAAGGGAGTCCATGAAGAACTGCTTTTTTGCTCCCTTTCCTGCTTCTACTCTTGCTAGGACCTGCACCCCCACCTTATACATGTATGCCTTATACTTATGGTACAAAAAATGTATGCCCTTCTTGTAAGGGTCCAGGAGTTAATGATTTCTTTGGAGTCTTCATTACAATAAATAGGAGTGACAGGGCAAGTTGTCATGTACATTTTGCAGACCACTGACTCTAGACACCCCGACGCCAAGCTTCCTGGTGTAAGTGACTTAAGGAGGACACAGAGGACTTGTCCTTGTTTTGTCCAGTTTCTGGACGTCTGAGAAGACATGCACACCAGATCACAATCCTCAATAAAAACCCCATCCCCCAAGCAAAACAGACTCACTCTCCTTTCCTTTTGGAGTCTCTCAGATACTGTGTCTCTATCTGTCCTCTCTCTGTATCTTCAAAAAAACTCTGCTCTCACTTCCTCTCAAATGGTGTTTGATTTCTATCCTTTGTAAAGCCAAGGACCCTCTTGGCTGGTCCTGCAGGACGCCTTCTGGTTCCATGGACTCAGTCTGCCTATAGCAACACAAGTCTGTGAATATACTAAAATTCACTGTATGGCATATTTTAAAAATAGTGAATTTCATGACAGGAATTGTCTCAAAAATCTGTCATTAAAAAAATGAACACTAAAAATTAACTATATTAAAATATAGCCAGGAAGTTATTTAAATAAATAGACATTCAAACAATATTTAACCCTGTATTTTTTAAATTTGTCTTCAGAAAGCAATTTGAGATACACGCATACATATACAGGACCTTAATCTCCCTTTCCCCCAACTCCCATCATCTCCCTCCTCAAAGCTTAAGCTCCATTGTCAGTGATTTAGAAGGCATTCTGGGCAGTGAGCGAGGTCAGAGCCTGGTCATCAATTAATCCACTCCTGAATAATCAAGTGTTGTAAATCCAGATTAACAACAACAACAAAAAAAGACAGTTAATTCTTTGGGTTGGCCTGTCCTATCCAGTGCTCTTACAGCACACTACTCCAAAGACTTTAATAGAGCTAAAGTTGTTTTAAACTTCAGTAAATTAAAATTTAGGGAAGAATTAAACAGATCACAGTATTTTTAAAGGTATGGCCACGATTTGGAATCGGTCGTGGCCATTTTATACATTGCCCACTTCTCTCTTAATATTGAATGCAAAAATCAGTGAACACTAGTAATTAATACACAATATGTAATAGCACTTCTTTCTGCTCTGTGTTCATTAGAACAACATTTATAGTTATCTTTTTTTAAAATTTGTTTTTAGACTTTATTTATTTGTCAGAGAGAGAGAAGAGAGAGAGAGAGAGAGCAAGCACAAGCAGGGGGAGCTGCAGGCAGAGGGAGAGGGAGAAGCAGGCTTCCCGCCAAGCAGGCAGCCCGATGCGGGACTTGATCCCAATACTTTGGGATCATGACCTGAGCCGAAGGCAGACGCTTAACTGAATGAGCCACCCAGGCGTCCGTATAGCTATCTTTTAACAGTACTAATATTATTTCTTGGGTTACTGTTTTTCTTGAATGTACACATCTGAGTATCTTTCCAAAGTCTCTTGATCATTTGTTATTTGAAAATGCTTTCATCACAAGAGGTCAAACAAGTTTTGCAGCTTAATCCTTTCTAAATGAAGTCAAAGCTGACATACATCCATGAGCATGCAAGACAATTTAAAAGAAACATTACTG